GCGAACACTTATGCGTGCCTTTTTCTATTCTGGAACATTTGTTCTGTGCATTTAAGTTAAGTGATTGTGACTATTCCAAAAACATTTCTCTCAGTTAAATTATCACTATGGAGCGAGTTGGTCGGGAGTTGAAAAATAGAAGCAGCATAAGCAGTTCATCGGCGACACTTTGAAACAGCAGGATTTGGCGAAGTTTACGCAAAACTCTTCTTTCTTTCTTGGTGAGTAATATACAATTCCTTTTTCTCTGTGCATGAAGAAATCTTTTTGGGCACACACGTTTTTTAGTGATATGTTTTTCTCCTTCCGAAAATGATTCTAAGCCCTCTAGTTCCTTATGTTGGTTGATCATTTGCAATTAATCGTTACATCTGATATCATATGCCCGTTTTATTCGTGGTTCGTGCCATTTATTCTTCATTGAAGAGGTTATATATTGAAAATTACTCCTATCCTGGTTGTGGCTTCTCAATATTTTTAACGAGTGTGCTCTATGGTGTCAAAATTTCAGTAGGAAGTCAGTTGTTGAGTAGTTTACATTTTGTTGAAGATTAAAAAAATATATAATCTCAGAAAAATAAATGAATTGACCTCAAGTTATTATCGAAACAGGGGAGTTTTTATGGCTATTTTTCACAAAGGCCAAGAAATAAATTGGGAAATATCAAGATGAAAAGACTCTCTACTTTGAATGTTTGCAAAAAATCTTATTTCTCATAGAAGGTACACGGGAAAAAATTTCCGGATCGGTTCTTGATTTTTCTTATTCGGTGTCCTTGGATTTGAGTCAAAGTGAAGTTTTATGAAGAATGGCCTTACTTGGATGGGTTCACGGGACGTTCGCTACATGTTAATAGTTTATTCTTCCAATGAATCTCTTGAAATAGGATTATTTGTTTGAATTGTTTAGAAAATAATAGGAGAAATTCAACATATATTATATAGAGGAATTTTCAAATTTCAGGGTGCTGATGGTAATGATGTATTCAAGTGGACCTAGTACCTCCGCGGCCCGCAGATACTCCATCAACGTCTGAAATATATTTGTATATGAGTCAGTTCGACAACTATTGTATATTGAAAATAATTATTTCAAGTTCATTTTTTTATGTAGTTTGTTCTGAAATTACAAATGACTAGAATATATTATATAATGTACCCATATTTTGCATCAATGTTTTTTTTCTTCTATAGAATCACCATCCACAGTGTGTGATACCTTGAAAATATGAAACATTTCTTGCTCCAATATTCAGCAACAAGCACATATCCACCCAAATTGATCTATATGTAGCAGCTTTCAAAAAATTGATTCTGTAATGTTGATAAATGATGAATAGTTAACCAGAAACCTAATGATTTTATTTTTCGCATTAATCATTTTTTGTGTCACAGGAATAAATCTATATACGGGTCTGCACCATCTGAAAAAGGGGACCAGAAATGATCATTCCGATTCATGATTTTTTATGTTTTTCACGGGTGCACTTGATACTCGTAGACAATATCTTTATGATGTTTCCTATATCCAGGCCATTAAAAATCAGGAATCAGAACGATCGTTTCTGGACTCCTTCTTCAGGTATTCACATTGCGCATCCCCCATTAAATTATGTTCCAGAGACGAGTTATTTAAGATCGAAGGACAACTAAATAATGTTTCTGGAATAATTGTATTCTTCAGTGGTAGTAATTAAACGATGTATCCAACATCAGGTAGATATATCTCAGAGAATATCACCTATTTTTCTGCAACAGCATGCTTTTGAATAACTATCATCGAAGTATGAACCTACAACAGGTGAAGAAGTCTTTAAGATAATATAGCAATGTTTCAAAGGAAATTATTTGATGTTCAATGGTAATTAAACTGTCTAATCAATGTTATTCAACACTTTAATAATCCTGAGTTGATTTTAAATATATTTATTTATTAACGATCAATGAACTATATAATTGAGTGTCTGTTGCAGGTATACCGATTCAGGAAAAATATTTTATCTACCACTATCATACTGTATATCTGTCCCATATAGTATTCAAGTTTTTAACTGTGACTATTAAATGTTTAATAACCATTATTAAAGTTTTTTTTCTGTGCAAACGTTAACTTCATGTTGCAATATATCGAAGACTGGAACCTTTGGCACGATAATATACTACACTGTTTTACCACTAACCAAACCGATTTTTTAACGCCTCGACACGTGTTTCGCTAACTATGTTAGCATCTTCAGGAGAAGATTAAAACTAAATATTCTATTCTAGTGTGCTGCTTATATACTAGGTATATGTTCACCCAACTGTGAAAAATACTAACCGTCAAGTTAATGTTTGTCATGGTTGAGTTCACATGTTAATCTAAATTTTTATTTTACTAAACTATATAGAGGGCTATATGGAATAGGTCCATTATCCTTATTCATTACTCTATTACTATTCTTAAATATCTCTAAGCTTTCATATGCGTCTAGTTTTCTAATGTTATTAACTTGCTTAACTAATTTGAGGTTAGTAATATGTGTGTTATGATTGTGATTGAACATATGTTCAATCACAATCATAACACACATATTACTAACCTCAAATTAGTTAAGCAAGTTAATAACATTAGAAAACTAGACGCATATGAAAGCTTAGAGATATTTAAAAATAGTAATAGAGTAATGAATAAGGATAATGGACCTATTCCATATAGCCCTCCATATAGTTTAGTAAAATAAAAATTTAGATTAACATGTGAACTCAACCATGACAAACATTAACTTGACGGTTAGTATTTTTCACAGTTGGGTGAACATATACCAAGCAGCACACTAGAATAGAATATTTAGTTTTAATCTTCTCCTGAAGATGCTAACATAGTTAGCGAAACACGTGTCGAGGCGTTAAAAAATCGGTTTGGTTAGTGGTAAAACAGTGTAGTGTTTCATGTTGCAAAATTGAAAAAAAAAACAATAACAAATCATACTACTATAATAATTGTTGGAAATGTCCGCGATTAGCTTCAATCTCCTTATTCGTCTGAGGCTTCAATGCATGCAGCAGTTCTTGACGATGATTTTCAACATAAAAGTTGATTTTTCTCGAAAACGGCATACTTTAGAGTTTATGTTCAGTATCTTTTAGCTGATCAAATAAGCGAGTCAGAACTGTACTTTTTAGAGTGGCGTAGAAGTTGGGAAGAAAAACACTAACTACCCCCTACAGAATCTTCATCAATTATGACTCAAAAATGAAAAAAATCCGCACAAAACAACGCTCATTATGAGTAGAAGATGCTCACATACGCTGTTTTCTGTGGCATAAATGTTTCCAGAGATATTTGCAAAAAACGATTTTTTTTTCAAATTCCAACACTCTGTATTTCAAAAATGGTGCATTCTAGAGGGTAAGGTAAAATAAACTTTCATCATATTTTTGAACAAGCTATCACATCCTGAAGTCCTGCGCATATATTATGATACACCCTTTATAGAGGCTTTTCAGAAGAGAATAAATAAGATCATTCGTGGATTTTCGCAAGGAATCATTCTAGTCATAAATTCTTAACCAGCTCATCTTCCGTTTGTCGTATTTTTATTTTATGTGAATGAAATAATTGAAGAAACTAGATATCACAAAGACAATGTTACAGACATGATTGTAGTATGGTGATATTAGAGAATGGTTCGTGAAACACCATGCCTACCTAGGGAGGATAGGCAGCAGATAGCAGATAGCAAGTATTGTTCTTCATTTTGAAATCTTGGAAGTAATAATTTCCTGGAAATATTTCCCTAAGCAAGGAATCTCAAAGTTCCGCCGTGCTATACATGAAAGAGTTTCGGTAGAAAGTTGTTCGATATATCTTTTGGGACAAAGTGATCATCACGCCGAAACAGCTCTTTTTACATTTCGCCGAGAGTAGTTTAATTACTGTTTGAAAACATTACCGAACGTGCTCGTTATGTTATAACGCCGAAAGAAGATGATACAAAATATGCAGGCGCCCAGTTGCCCAGCGAGCACAAAAACATCTCAGAGATATTAAACGTACGAGATTTCGAGACATTGAACCTCCACTGCGATGTTCTGTTCACACATGAATAGAACCATTATAGAACAGTCAATGTCTGCCGCAGGCGGCAATTATCGAGATGTCCTTGATATGTCACAAAACTACCTTCTCCCTAGTTCTTTTTGAAGCCTTTTCATGGACACAACAAAACATTTTCAACGCGTCTTGCGCACATTGATTAAATCGCTGTAAAAAAACCATTTCCGAGGTACTTTTCTGAAGCCTTTTGTCAAAATGAACTTTTGCATTAGGATTCCATTTCCCTTGAATGAAATGCATTAAAAATAGATTGAACACAAAAATATTTTCTTGATATGAAATTACCTTCTTAATCGGTTTCTGAGTAGTGCTTACTACACACAGACATATAATTGGAAATAGGTTTCCCAATTTTTGAAATGTTCTCAACAATGCATAATTTTGCAACTGCGGAGAAGCTGTGTATTGATAAATTCGTACTTTTATATATTGATTACACTGAGACACTTAACAACACATTTTGCATCTGATGGTCATTATTACAAACTAAATAAGTCTTCTAACACAATAAACTTCACCAAATTCCTTTCTGTTCGTTAGCAGCGTGATGTAAGCGTGACACGCTGCAAACGCAAATGCCAATTGCGAACAAGAAGAACAAAATCGAGAACAAATCAGAATTCATCGTATTGTGACGTAAGCATGAGACGTTGTGGTGGCGCGCAAACAAAGAAAGGGCACAAAAGAACAAAAACAATACTTTCAATATCCTTCTAAGACCTCTTTGGGAAGTGCATATTACACCTCAAAAAAACATCTTTATGCCAACATTTTCAAAACATCCCAAAACATGTTTGTGCTCGCTGGGCGGTACCTCCATCTGCGCATTTTAATGGAATATAATCTATTCTATACAGATGGGTGTCTCAGATCTCTTCATGAAGCTCACAATTTTAGTGAAATGGATAGAGAAAAGGAATCATTATGTTCAAGGTACTATAAGATGATTTATCTGAATAATATTACCTATATATGAATAGATGCATGGGGATCTCGGGAACTTTTATTAATTAATTCTAAAAATTATGAATCACTCATCCATAACCATGGATACTACACGTTACAAAACTATACATAACGAACAATCATCTTTATGTTAAATGAATATCAAACTATAATATATATCATTCCTCCTCACAAGTCTCAATTTAAATCGTAATCTTTGAATCTATATGGCAATCTAGGAATACGACTTGAACTTTTAACACCTGACAAAAATTGTTCGCGTTTAGGCAAATTAGAAGGATAATAGTTATTCTCAAAATCAGTTAAACAAGCAGAAGAGTTATCATTACAATTAACTAGAGGCTCATCATCAGAAACTGCCTTCAGGAATCTTCTATTCCTCCTTAGTTTTCCATCCCCTGTATCTACATTATAAGATCGAGGTGCAGAATGTTTCTCCTTTATTCTTCCTCTTTGCCAAGTCTTTCCATTTCTAAGATAAACATCATCTCCTTCACTAAGCGACTGCATATCTTTAGCATTTCTATTGTAATATTTCTGTTGTATTTTCTGCATTTGTTCTTTTTTCTCTTTTATCCCTTCAACTGAGTCAGGTTCCAAATCACTTTCCGAATTGGGTAATTTATTTCTAAGCATACGGTTGAACAAAATTTAAGCTGGTGACTTTTCTGAATATTTCAGTGGAGTATCTCTATATTCCATTAAAATAGTATAAATATCAGTTTTTTGTTCATAGGCCTTTTTGAATATAAGCTTGACAATTTGAACTGCACGTTCAGCAAAACCATTGGACTACTCGTAGTTATTTTAATGTCACATTCCTTAGCAAATAGACGGAACTCATAACTATCATATGGCTTGTTTTCAGATATCAATTCTTCAGGAACCCCATCCCGTGCAAAAATTTCCTTGAGCTGTGTAATTACACATAATCCTTGATTATTTACACACTGTGAATACTCAATGACATAATGCAGTTTTGCCTTTCAACTCTTTGATTTCTAGCTAGTTTGAAAAATAATCGATGACTATAAGGTAGATTATTCCGTTGAACTCAAAAATGTCACTAGCTACCTTTTTCCATGCTCTATCAGGAATTTCATGGGAAATCAGTGTCTCTTTCTGATTATTTCTCTAGGATTTGTTACAAACTCCATAATTTGAAACTTCCCTCTCAATATCCTTAGTTATTCCTGGCCAGAACAAACATTGTCTCGCCCTCATTTTCATTTCTTCTATGTGATACTCACCATCTATTTTGCCTAAACCAGTTTCAACCTGTAGACTATCGATTCTCTCAAGAATATTCAATCTGATACAACCAGATGAACCCAAAATTGGCTGAGACTCAATACTTGTCACCAAGAATTCTAAATTAGTATTTCTATTACACATCAATGAAATTTTACCTTATGCTTGAGTTTTGAAATTTCCGAAACTCACCAAAATTGGCTCAGTTGAACCTAGCTCTAGCTCTGAATTGCCTTGTTCCAGTTTTCTAAAGATACTTTCCGGTATTATATCGACCTCACTACCAGTATCAAGCTCAAAATTGATTAGATAATGATCAATCGAAATGTCAGCATACCAAGCCCTACATATTTCATGAATAACGATTTCAGATATTAGATATTCTTTATTCTAATTTCTTTTACCTTCCCCATGTTATCTTCACTCGACTATGGAAATTTTTGCTGACAACAATACTCAAAGTGATTTCTACCTTGACAGAAATTACAAATTTTTTCAAACGCAGGACAATTCCTGAACTCATGTAAGACCCTCACGACCGATATGGATTTATAATTTCCTAACACATTTTCGTTACCAGATTTGTAGATAGGACATACCCGATTTGTTTTCCGGGTTTCTGGAAATTTACATGTTATAAAAACCTCGTTTTTAAACCTAACGACTAGAATTGAAAATGGTTGATCTAGTAGAGTTTCCAAGTCGTTGACGTGTATTTGATCATGTCCACATGCTGAGTTCTTATTTAATTGAACATCAGAAAATGCCTGTTATTGAAATAATTGACGCTTAGAATATTATTCAAATTTTACCAGCTTATCAACTGCTGCTGATTACTGATAAAAACTATGGAAACGTGTTCCGAATTACAGCACTGTATATTTGATTTCATATTTCGGAACACAGATTTTCAGCAGAGTCAGTGGATTAGCTGGCAGTTCTGACCACTTGAATTCGGAATATTACGAAAGCGGTGATTCCATGGGCGATGATATTTTTTTGAAATAATAACACAATGGAGTCATTATGAGATATTAGATACGGAAATAAAATTGATGACACACAAAGTATCTCATTGATGTATCGACCACAGTGAAACGAGTGAGTTACGTAGTTTTTGAAAGGTATCAGATTAGTATACATGTAGTTTTCATTAGGTATTAGATTAGTATAGAGGTCAGATAATTTATACGACGCTATAAAAGCAGATGATTTTTATCATTGCTCATGTAAGATGGAAGTAGAGGCCATGGGACCATATCATGAGCATATTTTTATATTGGAACTATCATTGGGCACCAAAGATATGTATACGACGCTATGAGAGTTCAGAGAACTGGAGATTTTTCCCACAAACTTAGAACACTCGACTGTCTTGGGTTTTCCACACAAACTACGTACCTAGCCCTCTCGAATGCCAACAGGGACTAAAAAAACAAAAACAAAAGGAAGTTAAAACAATACCAACATATTTCTTCTCTGTGGGAAATCAAGACAGTCGAGTGAGCTAGGTATGTAGTTTGTGGGAAAAAATCAAGACAGTCGACTGAGCTAGGTACGTAGTTTATGGGAAAAAATCAAGACAGTCGAGTGTGCTTTTTTTACTTTCTTTCGTTTTTTGTTTTGTTTTCTATTGGCAAGTGATTATCTAGTAATTTTTTTAATTTTTTCATCGTATCCCGAACTATTGAATTCAGAGAAAAATGTTATACGGATTTTTTATAGATTCTATCAAAAGGAATAATTTTGGTTCTATAACATTTTCAGATATTTTCAGTTGTTTTCGAGATATTTGATTTTCAACACTTTTGTTCCATCTTCCAATCAACAAAAGGAAAAAATATTTTATGGTTCAGTGGAAGTCGATGAGCTTCATCTATCGATAATCTTTGTTTTTCAATATACCTTCATGGTACCCTATGAGTCGTTCAAATTTTTTTTTTCATATTTATTACTTTATTTCCTGTACTATTGGGTTTACAGAAAAAATTATGGCTAATAATTTGTAGGAAATGTTCCAGTGGATAACTTTGCACTCCTGATGATTTTCGATTTTTCCATTTGTTTTCGATATATATTGAATTGAAAGGATTTAAAATTTTGATGTTTTGATTTTCATTTGTTTTTCCATTTTCCGATGGATGCACGAAAAAATGGTAATATAATAATTTGTTGCGTCATCAAAGAAGCATACGGTGCATTTTTCAAATTTGAATTTAGTCTATTGGTTCAGGAGATATGTCGTTTTGAAGCGAACCGTGTGTTTCGGAAAATCTCCTTGAAAAACCCACTTGGAATTTTCCGACCCTGCTCTATTTCAATAGGCTTCGTCTCTTCTTGATAGAGTTTTTTTTCTCAAAAAATGAAATCGATCGGACCTTTTTTGCGATTTGTAGAGTGGGGTCACAAGAAACTTCCGGTGAAAAATCGAAAAATCCCGAAAAAACCACCTTAGAGTTTTCCGATTTCCTTCATATTTTAATGACATGATATTGTTCTGAGTACAATAAGATGGCAAAATTTCAAGTGGATATGTCAAAGGGTTCCGGAGATATATCGATTTATGATTACCACAGAGTACAGACAGACAGACCACACACAAAAACCAAAGTTGCTAAAAATTCGATGGGGATCATTTTCTCCAAAGTAACTATACCTCTATCTCGCTTAGTTTCCGAGATAGCATTTTTGGCAAGGCCGTAGTATACTCCACTATGTATAGCGTCGTATAACAAGAGCAGTTTTGTGTTATAGCCGTGAAAAAAAATCAATTTTTGCAACACATCTCACGCTTTGTAAAGTGAATAATGAGTCTATGCTTCTTCCATATAATTTCTCGTGAATCAACATTTTCATATGCTTTTAACAGTAGCGCAGATTTTTCAAGGTGGTTGGGGGTTCCGAATGAAAAATCATTAAGGAATAGGAATACGATATTCAAAAAAATTGTCTTTGTATTCAGAATCGAATGGTGGTCAATTTTTTTTAAAAATGTGAATTGAAACCCTCTATAGCAGAAAAACTGTCCACCATTTAGGATAGTCACCCGATGATTTTTTGATCAGAATTGTATGGACTACATTATTTGAAGAATTCAGCGAACTCCACCGAATTTTATTTCATTTGCACCCCCTATTGGGGGTAATTATGTAAAAATGCAGTTTCCATAATTATCCGTGATAAAACATTTCCTATCACTTTTGACAGTTAGATAGAATTCTGTTTTTTTCGGTTTTCAAAAGGGGTTGTGGGTAATAAAAATTCCCCCCCTCCCCTTCCATCATTTTTTTTATGAAGAATCTATTTTAGAAGTAATTAGATGGAATAAAGAGTTTTGGAATATCGTCCATTTTCTCAGAAATAAATGGTGAATTCGATCAAAATGTGAATTCAAATCCCCCTGGTAAAATAACTGTCCATTTTTGGAGGTTAGCCGAATGAAAATATTCCATAGAACCACATGAACTACATCATACCCAAAATTGAGAAATGAATTGTCCCAAATTGAAGATTCATGCAAATCGCGACCAGGCAAAAATAGTAAAATTTCATTAACCACTCCGTATGTTGAAGACATCTCTTTCGAAGATGACGGGTTGCCCGTCATCTCGTCCAATGAGGAAGACCTCATCTCTTTCGATGACGATGAGTTGCTTCCACTACCATCGGAGTACAAGGACGAAAAAACCAATGAAGAAAATGAATTGAATTCGGCC